TGCATCTGCAGTCGTTATTACCCACAATCCGCACAACGCCCGCATGGTGGGTCATGGCCCAATCTCCCTCTTCGATTCGGTTCCTTCCATTGAACCTGGGCCTGAGCCCCAGCAGCGGGGACGTCAATATGCTGGTGCTGGTGACGATGACAACATTTTGAAATTGTTGGACATTTCAATTGAAAGGAATTATTTGGGAATCAAGATTCAATATTATTTAATCAGTGTAACTAGGCTGTATATTAAGCACATCATAACATTACATCGGTTCGCAAATTTACCTTGTATTGAGAAGAATCGATAAGAAATCGGCTAGAGCTGCTTTTTTGTTACTCTTTTAATAACAGTGACGTCCAATTGGAAAATTGTCATGGTATGAAATCGATCATCCAAACCACAGAATTGACTATTTTGGATCCAGTCTAATTATTTGTAACGACGCTTAAATTAATGATATCATTAACGTAAGAGTAAAGTTATAATAATAATAAAATCTTTATTTCCAGAAATATGGTTTTACACGTTGTTAATAATTTTAAATGCCTAGCACATTTTGTCGTCAGGACGACGTGCAAATATTACAATAAGTCATACATGTCATTTAAAAAGAAATATAAATAAATATATATGAAAAACATAGCGGCTGATCGTAAAGACAATATATTGCGCCCGGCAATGACATAGATAGCGACAAAGAATGGCAAATTATAACTCGTACGAATTAACGTGACCCCCTTCTTATAATTTTGTGTAGGACAGCTTTTACCTCCGCTTGTAGGTGCGCATACGCATCGAGAGTAAAGACGCTGTGCATCAGAGGCAGTGTCAGTTGTTTGGAATATTAGCATTTAAAAAATTGTTGAAATTTTATTCAACAATTTTTCGGTGTGTCATGCTAATTAATTCGTACAAGTGTATTCGCAAACCATTACAATTTTAGTGAGTGTTGCGTAAGTATAGCCGTCAGCTACAAACTTATATAATTTTTCATTTTGATGTTAACAAAACCGCAAGAAATATAAAGTTTTGCATTTTTTATTAGTATATTAAAGATTATCCAGGTGTCCACTTTAAATTACAAAAAAATCCCTTACTTTTTCCTTACCAATGTCTTTGAAATTAAAACATTTTAAAGCAAAATGTTTCAGCCCCCATAGCATGACAAACTCGAGAAACGCTTTTTCTACACACAAAAGTGAGATATTGAAAATTGAAAACGTTTATTGAAAACGCACACAATTACATATTTAACAAAAAACAAACAAAAAATGTAACACATTGCACATTAATTATAATTTAACTCAGAGTGCACCCGGTGTGGTGTCCAAAAGGTGCCATCAGCTCGACATGTGTTACACATAACTGCAACGTGGATTTTCAGCTGACGCCTGCCTCCCTAGTGGTGAGTGGTGATGTACTGCCCAATAATAATAAGATACGAGTGTTAGTGATCGTCATTGAAAAGAAAACGGTTAAATCTATAAGGTTGAAATAAAAATAATAATAATAATCAAATATACCAGATATCGTATGGGCGCACCCGAAGAAAGTAACAAAACATTCTCGAGTTCGTCATGCTACGCGTGCAGGTACTATCCGATGATAATCAGCTATTACTTGTCTTGTCTAATGTCAGCACGAACACGCACACACTCTTTTATACTTGATTTCCTAACTTCCAATTCCTGTACCGATTCGGCCATAAAATCACGTTTTGTTTGTCAGCACACTTTGCTTCTTTTAAGAGTGATGGAGTTTGGCTGGATTGCCAGAACATTTGATGAAAATACGCTCTGTAGTATCGAAAAATAAACAAGCGCTTGAAGAACTTGTCAGTTCTGTTAGGTCCTGGGTAGCTCAGTGGTTAAAGCAGTCACCGGGATTGCAAAGGTCGCGGGTTCGAGGCCCATCTTGAGTCCCAGGGGCAAAGTGGACTTTTTAAGCATTTTTCATTAAGTATATTTTTCAGTATAGTATTGTGAATGCAAAATGATCAAATATAATAATTCTAAAAGCTTTCCATCGGCTACTGAAGTGTCCCGCCCATTGCCACTTCAGCTAAGCAATTCTTAGTGCAATGTCAGTATCGTTGGTAAATAATCATTATGCATCGCTCCCTTCATTTTTTACTAGGTGACCTTGAGCCTGCTTGATTATAATACCCACAGTGAACGGCCACGTTTCGCTTGTGTAACTCATCCTGGCAACATACGCTGGTTGAAAATTTTGTCCTGAGACACTGAGGTAATTTGGACGTGAATATTATTAGAACTTTTACGAATGCTTCACATCCGATTTGGATTCGACGAGAAACCTCTTTCTTGTGAGTTAAAGAAACTTAAAGTAAAGGGGGCTGAGCCTAGGGTTGCCAGATGGAGAAACTGAAATATCTGGGCAAAATTTGAATAGGTCGGGATTTTGGGATCACAGTCGGGACAAAACATTACTAATGAACACCCACTCTTTATTAATTAAATTTTAAAATGAAAGCCAATATCTACTTTTTGGCAAATTATGAGATCACATAATAATAAAACATATAAACAGCTAATATATCTACTTATTATATATTTTTATATTGCCGCATGAAGTTGGAATTTGATTTTATAGAAATTGAATAATTTTAATTGTCGGAACATATTTGTTTATGTCGGGACAAATTTATTGTTTCGGGACTCTGGTGATCATACGAAATGTCTGGACAATCCAGGCTAATCCCGACGAGCCGGCAACCCTAGCTGGGCCCCACTCGTTTTGGATTTGTGCAGTCTTTGGTCGGAGCATAGATTTCATCAATTGAGATCTTTCAAGCTTGATATCGATATTCAATGTTGTTGAAGGAACTTTAAAGCAATCGTCAGAACTGATGTTTCGTTAAAAAGAAATGTTATATTCACAAGGTTTAGTAAAATTGGCACATAATATCACAATAACAGATAAGACTCCGAATAAAAAAAAGTCAGGTCTTAAACAATTTTCTTTTAATATATTTCTTAGTACACATTAAACAAACATTCGTGCTCCAAAAACATTGTAATAATAAAAATTTTACAAAGATCTGTATCTTTTTCCTGACTTTAGGGTTGACCTAAACTTTTTCCCGACTCACTGATTATCACCCTGGAGGACACCCTGAGATATAATGAATTTCAATTAATTTCCAATTCTACCAACATCGTATTAAGGTTTAAAACCAAATGAAGAAATTCGAAAGTTGTGTATAAACTGTAGTGCTGTTGCCTGTACATACCACACCAGTAAAAAGATAATTGAATGTACGCGGCCTCCTTAAACAAACAATGTTGCAATGAATTATGCTTATACAATGCGAAATACAATAAGGTTCATATTACTAATCAAATATGGATTGTAATAATTGTTTGAATGTGAATATCATACTATATTTGTACCTCTACAATTTCGTTGCACAATTATTAGATATTTGTTTCTTAGAATGTATAATGTGACAAATATAATCTATGTGACTGATTGCATTAAATTGTCTAGTGCGATCTTCCTCGGTGGCGTAGTGGATAAGCGCCGCGGCCCGCGATCGTTGTCGTTAAGCAACTTTCGCAAGGGTCGGTCACGGGATGGGTGACCAAAAAAAAAAATTATCTCGAGCTATTCCGTGCTTCGGAAGGCACGTTAAGCCGTTGGTTCCGGCTACATTTGCAGTCGTTAATACCCTCCAATCCGCATTGGGCCAGCGTGGAGGGTCATGGCCCATCTTCCATCCATAAGGAAGACCTGAGCCCCTGCAGTAGGGACATAAAAGGGTTGGTGATGTGGTGATGATCTTCCACGAGCAGACCAAATACTGGTTATGTTGTTGATATTTTTAAACATAGGTTTAAACTCAAGATATCTTATATTTTTCCAAATTCCATCGTGAAAATAAATAAAATGGTTAAAACAATACAACGATTACGATATTGGAATAAATACATATCGCACCTAAATATATAGGTATGAAGTTCTCATCATTTAAAAAGAAAATAATCTATACAAAGTATAAAATGAAGTTGTTTCCCGGTGTCTGTTTTTTAACTGGTTTTAATGATTTCATCAATATACATTGATTCAAGAGGAAGGCTCGTGGTCGGAAAGTTGGTAATAAACTATTGTTATTATTATTAGAAAACCAGTAATAAATTATAATAATAAATGAAACAACATAAACAGCAACATAGGTAGTGTAACCATAGACTAACATAATACCTATAACAAGTGACAATGAAGAAGTATTTAAAAAAAATAGTCATCGAAATTAAACTAGACGACGCCACGATACTTTCCATAGATTAATATTGTATATAGGGTAATACTTTCTTGATTTTGCATGACAACTCTTCCGGTTTACATATATATATAAAAGTAAATTAATTTTAAAAACTCGATAAACAACCCATATTCTATTTGTACATTTTCGTTTTTGTATTGATATCTAAGTTTCAAAATTTTGCAAAGGGAATTGTTCAGTTTGTATGGGCACTTTGGCTTTGAGTGGACATTATCTACAGTTATAAAAAACGTTATTTTTTAATATTTCATATCTTAAGGAAGTTAACTGTTGTAATATTTTCACGGGAAAGTTTAAAATTGTATATATATAAGCATGTGTAGTATTCCATTAACGATGTAACGAAAAGGTTATTTTTTTGTAACATACTTTAATTACCTTATCATCATATTAATTTATTTATGTTAGAAATAAGAAACAGAGATGTCTAAATAAAGAAATTGTAGATTTACACATATTTACCTTTAATTTGACAATACAATTCTACAAGCAAAAGACAGTACTTCTAAATACACATATTTATAAGAATAGACTTTACATAATCACTTAATAAATAAATTACACTGCTCATACAGTTTCTCTTCAGCTGGAGGCTAGCATTTGGGCAGTCAAAAAAGGCAGCTACATTTATATAAGTTGGTCACATGACGTCCTAATCTTTGAATCTTCCACGGCCTCTCCTAACGTGTGCTCTCCCTCAAACAAGACTATTCTCCTGATTTGTGCTCACCCTCAAGCACAACTCTTCGGCTAGGAGCGGCTGTAGACTCACATTTACATCTGCGCCTATTAACAGAAAGGACTATTTTAAAACACCTATTCAGTACATTTGCACATAACTACTTAATAATAAATTAACATTAAATATTGAACAACTAGTTAATAGTAGCAGTATTAATAGTATATCATTCTGATGAAAGATGTAGCTTCCCAAAGCAAAAGAATTTTTTAAATCAATTTAATTTTAACTGAAGGAACTCCTGTTTAGACAGACCTTCAAAAGTGCATAATGTCTTCAGTCATTCCTTCAATATTGTTAAAATCCATTGTAAGATTTCTTTTTTACAAATGAAGCAAAATCTTGTATAAGTTCTATAGTAAATGTATGAATAGTTTGCATGATAGACAACCATTCAGCCCAATTATTATAATATAAATGAGAATTACAGTCTACTGGTTTTTGGTACATAAAAGTTAAAATCAACAAACAATTTTACCTGAAGCCATCTGGGAACTGTCAGTTGCTGTAGTGAGTCTCAACCCGGAACAAAACATTATGCTTGTGAATCAGATGCTCTTTTAAAATCCGGCAAGGTAATGTTCTGTATAGGTTCTGGAATATTAGAAGGAACTGTCTCTATCTGCTCGCTGCCAACATGGATGACAGATGTGATCAGATCCATGCATCTAAAAGAGTATAGTATATAATTAAATTATTTGTCAACAAAATGTTATTTAACGATATGGTAGCGATATATTAATGTTTTTCATGTCATAAAGGAAGTTTAATTATAGTAATCATTAATAAATAAAAATAACTATAATCCTACCTGTCGTGGGGATATCCAATCAATAATTTCATTTCTAATGTGTGTTTCTCTGTCGGATATTGTTTGCAGTAGATGTGATCTAGTACGTAATATAGATCTTTCACAATTTATACAAAGCTGCCGACGATATTACACGATTTAAATACATTCATTAAACCAAACAATTTTGAATTACCAATTCTATCTTTCTACATGGATTTACCAAAAACAACACGTTAAACGATATTAATACGTTATTTAAGGAATTATTTTATATAAACAATCATTTTAATAAGAATTATCACTCAAACATATTTGTTGACAAAGTGAAAAGGTGCTGCCATATAAAAATCATTAATCGATTAGAAAGTAATCGATTGTTAGTGTAAATTAACTTATATCTAACCGAAAAGGATTATTTGTTATGTTTTTAACATATTTGATACATGATTTTGCAAAAGATCACCTACTGTATATGCATTAATATATATATACTTTAATTACTTTCATTTGTATTAAAGTTAAATCTTATCGATTAATCGATACTATTAGTAATAGTACTTTAATAACATTTATTGATATGGAAACACAGTGAAACATATTAACAAAACACATCCGAATCCAAAAAATTCTTTTAAAAATAATATTTTTAATGTTTAGTTTCCCATGACGAGAGTATAAAAAATATTTTTTTCAGTTTTAATAATATTTTACTGTTAACATAGTTTTTACTAATTAGCTTGTCCACCAAAAGCCAAAATTGAACAATTCCCTTTCAGTTTTTTAATATGTTAGTTAAAAGCAACGGAAATTACTATCTTTGGTCCATTCGTTTCCTGCAAATATCAACTTTTGCTAGAGTCGCCATAATACGTTGAAATAAATATTATTATGATTGGGAGATAAATACATTGGTGGTGTATTATGGAATTCTGAAATAGCGAAGGTATCACAACACCCAAACCTGCGAAGGTATCACAATTAAAACGGCTATTTTCTAAAAATTGCAGGAGTGAATCTAGGATTTATGAATGTTTTTAAACGGAATCCTAATAGTGCTTATTACGTATATGACTGCTTTCTTAAATAATAGCCTAATGTCACCCCCTTATGATGACTTCCCGTTTCCATGAACTACGGGAAGCTCGTCGGTGAAAGAAATGTTAAAAATCGGCACAATAGTATCTTAGTATATTAAATGCAAACAAACAAACATATCTTTCCTCTTTGTTATATTAGTATAGATATGAATTAAATAATAATACAATTAATAAGTACAAAATTATTTTAATTAATAATAACATTTGCAAAAAACATTATGCATACATTTGTATTTTCCATTGACTATATCACATTTGAATTACTTGCAAAAAGCCAGATCGTCAACAATTAAAATATAGATATCATAGTAACAACATAATTATGCATGACTATGCTTTATTGAACTTATTTCATACAACATTATACTTAGGTCTTATAAGTATCACAACATATCTCCAAGGCATAAAATCTGCGACTAAGATAGATTAATCAAAACCAGAAATCATTTTTTCAGGTACAGTACTCCCATTTTTATAAGTTACGTCGGTAAAGTTTTGGGTAGAAAAGAGCAAGATAAAGAGCAAGACAAAGGGGTGGGTGTACTTACCATAACCGTTTTAGTTTTAGACTTCACTACTATACGTTGAATTTAAATTGAATTTTATTCTATCTCACTCATAGTATACCTATGTAAACTAGAACACAAAAATTAAGAAGGCGGCAATCGAGCTGCATGCTACAATCGAAAATATTTTTTTTGGTACCATTACTATCTATCTAAAGTCCAATATTATTAGTTAGTTACAGTTAAATTAAATAATATTGGACTTTAGGCATGACATTCTATTGAGATGCAATGTTACGTAAGCATAACAGAATAAGGTTGCAGGTCAAGTTTCCAGAATATTAATTAATCAATTTTTTCGCAGCTACCAAACTCTTACCTTAAAAAAAAAGTATTAAGGTTTAGAATCATTTGGAGAAATTCGATAAATTTTGTATAACCTGAGTTATAAATATAGTTCGAGTAAACCAAGATTCGAACGAGGGTAGTGCTTAGTTGTTTGGGTTCAGTCTGAGATAAATGTTTTTATCAGATGTTTTAACACAAAAACTTAATTACTAACAATTATCATTTATTGTTAATTTTTGTATTTCTAATTTCGATGGACTATCTGAAAGCTTAAGTTTAGTGAAGTCGATCACAATTTTGTCTATCTGTGGTGTGTATTGCCTGAAACCAATAAATATATATATAATTTGAGGTACCTGGTGCAGCCCTGCGATTCTATAAAAATCCAAACCCGAATTCGAATCCACTTCAATAAGCGGCATCCGCTCAACCTTGAGTTGGTAGTAAGGTGTCGTTGCATAAGTGTAGTGAGTTTCGAAATGACATAGGAATAGAATATCTGAGACACGTATATTCAATCAATTGTTTTGTATTTTCGTACAAAACATGACATCAATTGAATTTCAACACTAAATGACGTGAGTTCGGGCACATGAGTGAACTCGTTTTTGGGTCTAGATTTTTACGGAGTCGCTGGGATGTACACTCCTTTAGCCAGGGCCTAATTTTTTCTAATATTAATTTTTTCTAATATTTATGGCAAATCAATGGCGCTTCAATCACGACTGTTTTCAAACAGTTCTTATTACTAGATCACAAAATAACATACATATCTCAATTCCCGGCGATTAACGAAGACATTGCACTTATGATATTGGGTCTTAGGTACAATGGCAAATTGCAATCAAGTGAGTAAGACGCCATTGAGAAGTCATTATAATTTTAACATTAGCAGAGTTGAGGTTCAGGAACAAGGCGGGGATCCATCGGAGTGAGGGGTGGCAATGGGAGCAATTTTATAGTTTCTTACTTTAAATCAGGGTTCGCTGATGAATATCAACGGATATATATCGATTGATATATGCATCGATATATATCAATTGATATCTATAATATTTATTGATAGTTTGAGTATTGTAATTCAGTTTCAGCTAGAAAATAAACCAACCCTATGTGACGCTAGAAACATTGGCCCGAAGTAGCAAACTTACTTATTAGAAATATCGGGTTTTCCTTATACGTTATTGGAAATCCTCGTTCGCATATACTACTTTTTAATTATTTCATAATAAATAAACAAATATTAAATAGCTCATTTTTATTTTACACTTTTGATTTAAAAGATCTAATATTAAATAAACCCACTGGCAGCTCAAAAATCGCAGGTTTTCATATGCATGATATATATCCTATATATATCGGATAAATCTCAAATATCGAACCCTGTTTTGAATTATTATACATTACCAATATCTGACACCCGCAGCATTGAACATTTTCTTGGAAGCTTGGTAACTTGACTTGTGTGCCTTTTCATCAGATAGATAAACGACCTCTTTGATTCCACTCTGTATAATAATTTTGGCACACTCGTTACATGGAAACAAACCCACAAATATTGTACAATCTCTCACATCTGAAGAGTTTTTATTTAATATGGCATTCATTTCGGCATGGCATACTGAAAAAAAAAAGGTTTTGTTTTTTAAATCAATAAGGGTCATATCTGAGAGCTTAGGCATTATGTCTCTTTGGATGTGGAATGTCTGAATTGATAAATATATTACTTCAAACTTGCTACCTCAATACCTTTGCTTGATCTTCTGTCAGATTTGTATCAATCCTATGTTATATTTACATTAATAATTTACAATAAAATAAAATTAAAATTGAAAGTAGCATTTATGAGGTTAAAAAGGTATAAATAATATTGGAAACATAAAACAACAACTTGAGACACACATAAACATTCCATGTGATATAGAACTTTACAAATATTTTATGGTTTTATTTCATTTTTTTTGCTGATAATTAAAAGTTTGCCAACAGATTTAAACAGGTGATACAAAACTTACCGTACAAGCCTTTTGTGTTAGTCGGTATTGAAGAGGTTTTGCCCCAGGGAAAATCATCATCACAGCATCCATTAGGCATCCCATTGTACCTGTAATTAGTTCTATGTAAATATAAATATTTGTTTTGTAATAAAATAATAAAAACAAGAAACAATTTCTTTACCCAATGCCCATAATCCTGTTTTCCTTGTTGACAATACAAGCACCAACTTGGCAGACAGGGTCTTTACTCCGCTTCGCTGCCAAAAACGCAATCGCCATGAAGTAGTCTCTCCAGCAAATATAATCATCTCTTTTTTGTTCACTGCTGCTGCAATTTGTGTAAATAATTAAACCAAAGCCACTGCTTCGCATAATAAAACAACATGCATACAATGCATATCTTGATATGGCCAAGTAACTGAAAACTCTCAATAAGATAAGTAAAATTAACAATAATAAATACCAGACAACATCATATACATTCTTTAGTTCTTAAGTCCTTGTATTATGAGTAACCAAAACAAAATTTGTAATACCTTTGTTGTTTTAGATTCCCATAAAACGCAGGCCTGAGAACAAATGGACTAATATTTTCAATATTGAATCGACTACGAATTAAAGCCATGAACCTCACTGAGTTTATATACTGTGGATTTCAGATACAGCAACATTGATGGGATTGTCTAACCTAATTTCGGTGTTATATCCAGAAATAGGTAAAGATAAATCAGACATACACATAGTTTAGTCATGTTCATTTATTTTTTAAGCACATACATTGCCTACCACATTATCGTGTTATTGGCAAAATCGGCATATCATAAGCATATCAGCAGAAGACTCGAAATCCATTTTTCGTAACAGTCAAGCTGAATCACTCAAAGTAACATTTTAGCTTTTGAACCATATGAGAAGAGCATTTTCGATAACTTGATGCAGCACTTAATTTTTGATTCGATTTTGATTAAAAACATTCTATGAAAGGGAAACTTTGGATTCTTTGCATGAATTACTATTGTTTTCACCATTTTTCAATCTTGAAATGATTTCTGCTCATTACTTTGTAATTGAACAATTTCAACTTCGAAAATGCTTGCCTGCATATAATGTCTGTTAACAAAAGGTTACCACAGTTGCTGACCATCTGTGCTTAGATAAGTAAGCTTTTGAGTTTTTGAGAGCCAATATGAGTCATAACATACGCATGGGTTTTCTAGGAATTTGACACAAATCACTGGTTAAAAACAATTGCTATATCTGAACTCGTTGTTAAGTCCCGAATCACTATAGACATATCAAAACTGTAATAAATTGTGCTTTAAATTCAAGGGATGTCAATTTAAAGTTGTTATAGAAAAAATGACACTAACCAAGGTCTCAAAATAAAATCCACTGTATTTAGAACAGCAATGTATCAGGTATAATAGAAAGACCATGGATTTGCACCATGGATGGAATATACAATATCTAAATTAATGCACTCCAAGTGCAACAGCTCGCAATCCCCTTTCTAGAATTGGAGGTTTTATAAGAAATATTTTATCTTTAGTTTTGTTATTGTGTAAGTAAAAATTTAAATAATACTAAGACATGGTAAATATCTTTAAAATAAACAAACACATATCTAAACAAAAATTTTAATTAAAAATTCTCTTGTAAATCAAAGATGTGTAACAAGTTTAGGTGTAATTTTCAAATACATCAAAGCCATCTAATAATTTTGATATAATTTTATGCCCAATTTTTTTTTTCAATCAAGGCACCATCCTCCCGTTCTGGGGGCCTCCAAATGGTTGCAGCCGCCCGCCAAAAACATAATATAATAAAGTCAAAAATTTTATGTTCGGGAGTGGGGGGTGGGGGTATATGTATGCTTGGTTTGAAAAAGTTGTCAATCCGGGCCTACTGCTATCCTGCGTGTTTTACAATTATCTCCCTCCCTCCGTCTCAAATATTATTTTAATATAATTTATTTTTATAAATTAGATATACCTAAGCATATTAATAAAAAATAAATTACCCATGTTATACTTAATTTACCTGGGTGAAGTGCCTATATGCCAGGTAAAAACAACACATTTGTGTAAATAAATAACACCCAGACTTACCTTTGGTTCATATTGACTATTTCGGCACGTTTTTATTTATTTTGGTCTTGACTTGAAGGTTATGCACAACTACCGGCCAGTTATTTTCTAGATCTAATGTCTTTGGTAACAATTCAAAATATACTTTCGTTATAAGCGGTAAACATTAATGGAATGGCGAAGTTGGCAGATAAATAAAGAAAATATAGGAAAAGAAAATAAGTTACACAAACTCCACACCACCCCGTACCGCGGATTTTAGAAACATGTATTTGACGTTTGCAACTACTGACACTGACAACATTGAGTAAAAACATCACAATGACAGATAGGACATTCAGTGTTGCAAACTCTGATTTTCAAAAAGACGTAGGTCGGTCAGTCACCGTTACTGTGTTCACTAACCAGTCTACAAGGAATTGTTAAAAATTACATATAAGACTTAATAGATTACGTAGGGACCTCATTTTAGTATTTGTATTAATCAATAAACGGATAATTAAAAGAAGATTGACTTTATGTATTTGTTTATTAACTAATCTCTACTAAAACTGCAAATGCGAAGTAAATATAGATATAATTAAAACATCTAAATAATTAAATTAATTGTTTCCTTTCACCATTCATATTTTCCTACGGCGTACTAAAATTATCTTCATATCATCTCCTTTTCAAAATTTCGTTTTATTGTTACTGTCGACACACCCACAAATATTTAATAGTTAGAAAAATTCAATAGCGTGCATTCATAAACACGCTTTAAAATCCAACTATTTCTTTGATCTTTCGCTTCTTTTCACAATTTTTGCTATAAACATTAATAATAATATTTATACTTTGAGTTATGAATGGTTTTTTGAAGATTTTCACTAAATAAATTAATATTTTTAATAAAATTTTCCAAACGAATTCACACTTTAAATTGTTGTCAATTTATATTACCATATAATAATCGAAATTGTTTCTTTAGTTTTTGTACTATTAGATTCTAGTAGACCTTACACCCTTACTAATAATAAACATATAATCCTTGCTGTTTTACCGAGTATAACTGTTCATGTCATTCCAATGTGTAAAAGATAGAATATTGTAAAACTATACAACAACGCTTATACGTTGCTTATTCGTAAGGCCGCTATTCTATAAAACTATTGCAATATTAGACAATTTTTTATTTTATTTGGAAATTATGAATAGATTTGGAAGAACTTTGATAAAATAATAAAACCATCAAAGACAAGACAAAGAATCATGTCCACTTTCCATATATTGATTGACTTGTTATCTGTTTTCTTTAAAGATCGTGTCTACTTATATAGTATATAGTGATAATTTAAATTAGTCTTTACATAAAATAGAATAATATCTAAGCATCTTTTCATCTGTAGGTGAGGGAGATTCATAATTTGTAAATAATGTTCTAAGGTTATAACAGCTGTCAAAACTCGAGATAATTGTGAAACTACTTTAAATATTAATGCATTCAAATAAGGCTTTTCTATAGTTTGACTCGTTAATGTAGAAATAAATTAAGATGTAATGAGGAAGTATTTAAAAAAAACATTAGTTCCCGAAATCATACTAGATGTCACTACAGTAAGTTCTTGATTTCTCCATGAAAACGTTTCCGGTTTTCTTTCAAGTTTAAAAGTAAATTAATTTTCTAAACTCAATAAACAACTCATATTCTATTTGAAATTTTTCGTATTTGTATATCTAAGGTTCGAACTTAGCAAATTTCAGTTTTTAATATGTTAGTTAAAAGAAACGGAAATGTCTGTTTTTGGTCTATTCGTTTCCTGCAACAATCAACTTTTGGTAGAGTCGCCATTTCATGCGGTGCCTTTTTAGGGATTTCTTTTTTTTTCTTAAAATATTTCCTCATTAAAACAATTAACTATATCCATCTATATATTCACACCCTATTCCTGGCAGGGTAGGCAGAGAGGACAGAATGCCACAATGTGCGGACCTTGCATACATCTTTCGCCTCATCTACTTTCATTGATCTATTAATATTAAATAACTTTTTATTGTCATATAAATAAACAGCAAGGCAATGTGAAGTCTCTGACTTCTGTGCTAGGTATAACCTGAGTGACAGAAGTCATACTGCATATTCGCCGGTTTTTATGGCTTTTCACATCATTTTCTATGAGCAGGCGATCGATTAGATCATGAAAGGTGAAAAGTGGTTTTCTTTGGCTTCAGCGTCCTTCCACTTTGGTACTGTATATTAGTTTTGTCATTATTTCATTCGTAATTCTTTCTACATGTTTCTGTCGATTTTTACGACGACGCTACCTTTCAAGTTAACTCTCATACTTATCTCTTCATTCTGAACGAGTTAGTCTGCAAATTCTACAGGTTGACATGTTGCAATCCGCGCGTTCAACACATATTGTACTAATTTCGTTTATAGATTACACCACAGACATTAAAGATGTACCGCCTGTAAACAGTACCTCAGATTAAAAAAGAATGACTTTTCTACTTGATTTTAAATCTTAACGTCTTGAATGTTAAGTTGAAAATTAACTGCGTAATTGATATGTTGTGGTAAACTGTTTCTGTGTTTATATGTTGAACCTACCTTAGATGCTGTAGTTGTACCCACGTTGTACCTAAATAGGAAGGTATTAGATTACAATTTATAAGATGAGACGTTGCTATGTTGTAGGATTGGCATAAGAGCAAACATTCTAAATGAAAATTAAGCATTTGTAATGGGTATCTAAATTTAATAAATATTTCTTCTTCTTTTTAAGTATTGGACGGATTGACTAGAAATCTTATAGACTCAAAATCCTTCACAAACCCGTGTCTTGTCTGGCTTCAGTTATTAAGAATACATTCTGAAATGTATACAAATTTAGGTATTATGAACGGAACAATTCTAGGACACGTATTGAATCGTGCAAACTAGTTTTAATGTTAATTCTTAGGGTTCCCGATCTCAAAAGGGAAATTTTATTAGGTAACAAAGTAGCACTCCTTTGGATGTCTGGCTGGTAATACCGTCTTCTCTAGAGCACGCGAAGCCAGACTTGCATTTATATAGGCAGTTTTTTTTCAGGACAGTACCGATGTCAATGATATCGCCTCACATCACAACGGCCTATTTAGTTTGTCCCGATTTGTGATGACTTGTGATAGCTGTGAAGTGAGGAAAATGATTTTAAAAGAGACATTATTTTTATTCTTTCCGCCCGTTTGATGAATTTGAATTCTCTTTGGATAAAAAATCTGTAGTAATTTTGACTAATATCGATGTTCTATTATTTTGACTAAGTTCTATTATCCCGATTTTTCAATCTAAAAGGTGGAAACCCTGCGTAGACGTGTGTGTGTGTCTATATAATTATAAGTATTTTAATATCACCACTGCTGGGGCATAGGCTTTCCCTGTGGATGGAATCAGTTGGGGAGAATAGACAAGAACCAACCACGTGAACCCAAAGCGGAATGATGCGTAGAGACATTACTTTTTAAATTAATATCATACATATATCCGTATATATAGTTGTTCTGTAAAATCATAGTCTCCAACCGCCACCAAATGTAAAAAGGTTTTATATGAATTTCTATGGTGCAACAGCGCTGGATGCTGCATTCGATATTTTTTTTTTTACAGAATAGCAAAGCTTGCCTAGCAAACCTTTTAAATTAAAAAAAGGCAGTTTTAGCAATCAAAATCTATAGAGTCCTTTTCATTGACCTAGAAAGGCAAGAAACGACGTCTAATATAAAAATAATCTGTAGATAAGCAGCATAACTTATTTGCAGTTTGTAAAAGACACGTCCTATTTTGATTTCATCAACACCAGCCTGTTAACTTCACCACTGCTTTGGCTCAAGCCATCCCTATAGATGAAATCGAATAGGGAGAATAGGAATTTTTGAAGGTTTTATATCAGTTCTTTTGTGGAGAGTGTTGTTTTCAGAGCAGATTGCTTAAAGTGGTTGGTTGCAGTGAGATAGATGGAGTCTCTCTCGTTGGACGCTTCTAGATGCAGCGCTGGCGGGAGAGCCCATTCTCGCACAGAGCACAGATTCGTCGATCATGACAACTTCGAGTTGAAGTCATGCCAAGGGAGTCGGTTCGGTCCCCGAAGAAAAAATCTATATAACGAGTTCAGATCATAAAATTTTGGTTACCCATCCTATGACTGGCCATACAATCATATCGCAGTCCAAGCGCACTAGCGACTGAGCCATCGAGTTCATATTTTGATTTAGGGGGCAACAATTATAATAGCAAAGTTAAGTAAGCAGTTATTTATTTTCGTAAGATAATATCTCAATAAGTAGGTATTTACTGTAAACATTTGAAGTAATGTAATATTTTTGTTGCAATCATATGTTTGTATACTTTGTATTACATGTGGATCAGTGTGTCTGAGATAAAGATTTATTATTAATATTATCAGTAGTTCTAGAAATTTCAATAAAATATTGAACGGAACACACCAAGTGCGCGTGCTTGTTTAGTTATACTAGGTATCTAGGATTGCATTGCGTGTAATTGATTTGTACATGCACAACTCCATTTACGGGCTATTTACGTTGTCCTTAAAGTAGATTTCTTTTGGAAATGCGTTAATTACCAATAGAATTTTAATTAAAATGACACATTTTCAAAACTACTCCACCAAATTTAATAATTCATAGTAATTATTTAATTAATAGTTAGCCAGCTATAAAATAAGTATATTTTCGTCACCCGCGTACATAAGTAGTTACTCGTTGGAGAAATTATTAAAAAATTTGGACAAGTAGTTTCAGAGATCTTACCTCTTTTAAATATTAGTATAGATTACTTTTTCTCGACTTCGCCTTCGTCACCCGCGTATAACGTAACTTCCCCATAGGTGACACCTTTTAAAACGGTTCTATTCTTTTGAAAATTAGACAATTATTTTAAAGTTTATCGCAATAAAGCGATAAAAGCTTGAAAGCTATTGAAAACCGTCAAACTACAGATTGATATGTTAGCTAGCAGTATACCTATTCGATTAACATATCCATATAGCAGATAATTTTTTCAAGTGCTTTTTCAGTTCCTTTTTCAATTTATAAAAAAAAAAACTATAATGAGGTTCCAATTTTAAAATCATCAATTTCATTACAAATATAAATCATTCTTTAACAAACACTTGCTGTGAAGCGACGTAACAGTTGAATGGTTAATTGTGCAGTGATATAAAATATATTTTCTATAAAATTAAAAATGATATCATTAAATGTGGCTATTACGAAGTTTTTGAAGGCTGTTGAAGCTAGCAGCTCATCACCTGTAGTGCAGTGGTTTCTGAGAATACTGGCATTAAGTCAAGCAATTTTGCCGGCTGGTTGGCCCCCTGATTACTATTTATTGGGTATGTTAAAAAGTTAATTTATAATTAGTACCTTTTTGAAGTTTAAAAAGTAGGTACCTATACTTATTTGAAATTAAACGTTTTTAGTGTAATATGAATATTGTAAATTATATAAGCAATAATTACATGCATTTTCTTTTCTTTTCATAACCCATAGAAATTATATAATTATTATAAAATTTGAAAAGTCGTTATCTATTAATTCGTTAATTGTTCGCATGTAAATAAATAAAAGTATAGTTTCCATTAAGCATTTTTCGGATGAACGTATGCAAATTGTCCTCTCAGCAGCGGTTACGTTCACACAGATGTAATTAAGAACTTTTCATTTAAGTTCACCCAGTACCGAAAAGAAAATATTTAATATAAAATAAAATACTAGAAAATCAAACTTTCTTTAACACTACTTATAGTGAATCCTTTTACATACCTTTTAATGAATATAAAGAAAATACAAAAGGGTTTTAAAATTGTTTTAATAATCTGCTAATATGGAGATTATTATTGCAATATAGTACTAAATCAAACTAAAATCAAACATTTGGTCATTTAGTGTAAAGAATGTGTTTATAGAGTACTCATTATAAAGAGAAAAGATTTGATAATTTGTTTGCATTAAATAGGCTCCGAATCAACTGAAACAATTTGAAAAAATCTTTCACCTATACGCGAGTGTATAAATAAATTATGCGGATGAAGTCGCGGGAAAACAGTTAAGTATATCTAAAAATTTTGTAACATTCATTGTTCAAATAAAAAAATGTAGCTAAAGCCTTCGTATTTAGAAATAGCGATGCTTTGAAACCGATGTGTAAGCCAATGCAAACATAAATCAAATGTAATATCGAACTGCAAAAGTTATTCTTGTAAAAAAATATATAAAATATTCATTTGCCTGACGAGATTTGTTACTAAAAGATACAAAGCAATTATTTTTTATTTTTTTCATTGCATTCCACAATGTAGTATTAAGATGTTCATAAAAACCACCATCATCACCATCACCAGCCCTTTTACGTCCCCACTGCAGGGGCTCAGGCCTTCCTTATAGATGGTTAAGGAGGATGGGCCATGACCCTCCACGCTGGCCCAATGCGGATTGGAGGGTATTAACGACTGCAAATGCAGCCGGGACCAACGGCTTAACGTGCCTTCCGAAGCACGAAGTAGCTCGAGATAATAATTTTTTGGTCACCCATCCCGTGACCGACCCTTGCGAAAGTTGCTTAACAACAACGATCGCGGGCCGCGGCGCTTATCCTCTACGCCACCGAGCTACTTCATAAAAAAAAAAAAATCTTTCATAAAAACAAAGTATCATTATGGACCTTGTCGGGCTCAGCAAATTTGGAGAGAGGGGAGAACACAGTGCTTTAAATCGTAGTTAGGTAATAAATATTTCCTTTCTTTTATAAATGGATAATTTATGTCTTGAAAACTATCCTATTTAATAGATATTTAATAATTAATACACAATTAAAATGAAGATACAAAACAAGAACATTATATTTAAATTAGAGTTAAATTTTTCACTTAGGTATTCTTGTGTGGTATAATAATGCTTTTTAGTTAATAAATTCTTTATTTGTTTTATGTAATCTTTTTCTTTATTTAATTTTTTATTGAGTTTGGCAAATTTGTTGTATATTTTTATTGAAATTGCTAGTGGATCAGAAGAGTGTAATTTTAAACGGGTGGTTAGTTGTTTCTTTATGTTTTATTATAAAATTTCGGATATTTTCGTACGAACTTACATACTTTTCAAATATATATGCAGGGTAGTGAAGAATTTGATATATAAAAGTATAATGGTTTACAGATGTTTGTATTTTGTAGGTTAAATATGATGCGAATTTTTTCCTGCAATGTAAATAAAGATAGAATGTCTGTGCTGTCCCCAGAGCCAAGCCTAATGCTTACGCGTAGTAGGTAGTTAATGCTGTATTTATGTTTGTAGTTTTTTTTTTACTTCCCGTAGGGCATATGCAAAGCTAGAAATTTTACTTTTTGAATATGTAACTTCCAATTTATAAGTGAATCTAATACCAAGCCGAGTGAGGTGACTTCATTGACTGCTTCTATTTTGTATTCATATTTATGTGAAATTAATGTTTATCGAAGGTTTTGGGTATGGATGGGAGGTAAATTGGTTTAATATTAGTTTCTGAGAAATTATTTCATTATGATTTTTCATCCATCAAAATTATGAAAAATAAAACCCAATTTACTATTGATATTTGAAGCGTACCTACAGGATGATAGGAGTGAAACATCATTTTCGCATAATACGCATGGTTCTTGCACAATTTTTGGAAGGTCCTTAATGTACACAAAAAAATAAAACAAGCGATTACACTCCCTTGAGGAGTCGAGGCGTTAGACATTCTACTATTTGATCTGTTTATATATTTTTTGGTTATAGTTAAAATATTTTAACCTCAACAAATTGTTCTCGATCTTTTAAGAATGATTTAAACTAACTGTATGATTTTCCTCGGATACCTAATTCGTATATTTTTCCTACAATATGTTAAATTGTACTTTATTACAAGCTTTTGACATGTTATATTTAGAATTTTCTTGGATATGTTTATAAATCGCCAACACAATAGACTTTTTCTCGCGAAAACTGTTTTGACACTCGTCAAAAAGTTTGTATTTTTATAGAAGTTATAAATGCGATAGCACATAGTTTTCTCAAATAGTAATATCTATTTTTCGTGCTTTTTGTGCATGGGTTTTATTAGCGATTTTTTTAATCTGGAAGTGTACCATCATCGAATGATTGATAGATAAGTCAACGGTATGGCAAAACAATAAAGGTAGGAGGTCATCATCAACGCAGCTTTGTTTATTTATTAGATTTTGTATAAATTTATGTGTTTCCTGAAATTCTATTGGACTTAAAAACATTTAATTTTCAGTACGGCATAACACGGTACAGCCTATTGCTTTATAACGCATTTGTCACCAATAGAAGCAAATCAATTTCCACTGTATTTTTATGATATTTTCTTTTGTTTTATTTTTTGTTTTGGGCAACATTCATTTAGGATGTCAATTTATTGCGAAAATCGTTATATTTCACATTTATGTTATTATATGGTTAGAGAATTATTATTTGATTTGTAAATTTTCATTAATTTTGACTTAAATTCACCGATATTAGACAAACTAAAAATATATACTTTGTTATTTATTTGTTTATATACCAACTATCATGTCTATTATAAAGCATGCCACATCTATACAATAGTATTTACATTTATATCCTTCATATTTGTAAAAAAGTGTATGCTATTTTGTAGCAATTTTGTTTAAAAACGAACGAATTATTTGTCTGTAATTATTTATTTTTTATTCGCCAAAGATTAAAGTATAAACGACAAACTTCATTATGATCTTTAAAGCTGAAAGTGTGTCGTTTAGCCAAATGTAATTTTTAAATGCAAACATTAAAAATAGTAAAGATAAAGTTAAAATGCCGTGGAATATCATAAATAGTGAAACTGGAAGAGAAAAAATCCGGAATACGAATTTTAATTTAAACATTGATAACATTTTTATTATACTAATAGCAGATCTTGAAGTTGCGACAGAATATGAAAATTTATTTACTGACATTGGTTTTTTGTACGGTTGGTGTACGACATGGCATTTTCTTATTATATAATATTAATTTTGTATAGCCATACATAACAATATTATTAAATAAAATAATACGTCATATAAAGCAAAGTTTCTGAATCATGGCGGTCATATTTATAACATAGTTCGCAATTGCAATATTACTGGAAGAACCACAAATACAATTTCATAAGAATACTTCAGTATATCAGCAGACCAACAACTCGTCCTTCCGGAAGACCTTTCTAGCAGGTCCAGCCACCGAGCGATCTATAATTAAGTATTTTTTTTTCGCGTTTTCAGATCATGAAATGTTTGACTTCGTGGTGGTAGGAGCTGGGTCAGCTGGTGCGGTGGTGGCTGCTCGTCTAAGCGAGGTCCCTTATTATCGTGTACTGCTGATTGAAGCTGGTGGTGATCCACCATTAGCCAGTGTGGTATGTACCATAAATGTAAAAATTTTTATATTTTTTAACTGAATCGTGTAAAAATAAATATAAACCGAATCTTTTCTGAAAATAAATTAAGCATGTTGTATATTTTTATTTCAGATACCCAGTTTATTCGTTACTCTAACGGGCACTGAATACGACTGGGGATATAAAGTCAAGTTTGATGATGGCATTGGTGGAATCTACAGAAACAAAGAAATGCCAATCATTCGTGGTAAGATGCTTGGGGGATGCTCATCTCTCAATTATGAGATGTATTCTAGGGGAGAGGCAAAAGATTATGACGGATGGAACCAAGTGGCCCAGGGATGGGATTGGGAAAATACCCTATATTATTTCAAGAAGTTAGAAAACATGACTGATCCTACTGTGACGCACAACCCTTATTATTCTTATTTTCATTCCACACAAGGGCCTGTAAAGATATCAAGAGCGGCAGGGAATGATTACTTTGATAAAGTCAACGAAAATATACTAAGTGCTTACGAAGAGATAGGACTAAAAAGATTAGTGGAATTGGACGGTCCATACACCTTAGGAGCATCCGTACCACGTTGGACTTTCCATAATGGTAGACGATCTAGTACAGTAGAGAGTTATTTGCGTCCAAACGCACATAGAAAAAATTTATTTGTTGCTAAGTACACCAGAGCGATTAAAATTTTGATAAATCCAACTGATAACACGGCTTATGGCGTTGAAGTAATAAGTAAATCTGGTAAATTAAAAAAAGTGTATGCTAAAAAAGATGTTATATTATCAGCAGGAAGCATAGACACACCAAAACTTCTAATGCTTTCTGGTGTTGGACTCAAAGAGGAGTTGGAAAAGCATTTTATAGAGACTCTGGTTGAGTTACCTGTTGGAATTAATATGCAGGAACATGCGTTAATTCCATTAGTGTTTTCTAGTGAAAGAGGCCTAGGATCAGCCGTGCAACATGTTTTTTCTGCGACCGAATTAAACTCCATACCTGTACCAATACAAAACGCATTCTTTAATATAGATAGACTAGATGGTAAAAGACAGTTTCAAATTTCTAATACACACGTTGGTGCTTTTGCTTCACCTATGATCCAAATCGGATGTGAAACTTTGAATATGGAAACAAAATTTTGTGCATCCGTTGCTAAAGTGAATCTTTTACATGCTATAGACTGGACATTTTTAATACTTTTACATCCTAAATCAAAAGGAGCAGTTAGATTAAGAAGTAAAAATCCTTTAGACGATCCGATTGTGATTGGTGGTTATTTTAGCAACGAGGATGATGTTGATGAATTCATGAAGGGATTGGAGTTCATGCAAAGATTAATGAACACGTCTTACTATAGGAGTGCCAAAGGCAAAATGATACAGTTGGATGTAAAATCTTGTCACTCGTTAATATTTAATACATATGAATATTGGCGATGTTACATTAAAAATACTGTAACAATACTTCAGCATGCAGTTGGTACGTGTGCGATGGGACCTGGTGGAGTGGTGGATGAGAGATTGAGGGTGCATGGCATTCGTGGTTTACGGGTAGTCGATGCATCGATTATGCCTGAAATTTCCGGTGGGAATACAAATGTACCCACCATTATGATAGCTGAGAAAGCTGCTGATATGATAAAAGAAGATTATGGAGTATTACTTTTTAGATAAAAAACACATACCGACAAACATAGAACTGCGTTATTCTTTGAAATAGTGCATTAGGACTGTTCCAACTTGTCACAATTGTGTTGTAGAAGTTACAGCGAAAAAATATACTGACTTCTAAAAATATGTATTATCTAGTCATAAAATATAATTATGATAAATAAATTGATGGTTTTATTTAGAAATAAGACCCCTTATTGATGTCAAAATAAATTTCCATAGGCAAATTACTTGCGAATTATCTTTGGTCGCTAGTAAAACGAGTAGGTTTACAACATCGAACTTTGAATTGCTTCTTGTTTTACGGCGAATTTAGCGAAAACGCACCTTTGCCAAAAACAACTCTACCAGTAACAGGAACCGTGATTGAGGTAAATCAACCGTCTGTAGACTAATCATGATTGGTCTAAGATTGGACGAACGAATTTTTATTGTTTCGCGTCAGTAACGCAGTAGAGTTGCTGTAGGCCAAGGATGACGACTGGGTAAAAAAAGAAATACTATTTTGCCCATCAGTCCGATAATAGAAACATTAGATATGTATTGTTTTTTACTTCAATTTCACTATGTCCCAGTTTTGTAGAAAATGTACAAAAACGTGATGTCATGTGACATTTTAACTCAATGTATCAAAAGTAATATTAAATATTACAAAAAAAGAATACGTGTTATATATTTTTCAACGATCTAGCTGACAGTAGTCAGCTAATGTTTACGTAAAGAGTAATTAATTTAATTAATTAAAGATATTAGCAAAATAATAGTCCAGGCACATTTTGCTATAAAAATAGCATATAATATATAACAATTAGCAAGTCCATCATATATCATTAAAATAAGCAATCAAAATCACACATACATCAGTGTTTTTGGACAATGTGTAATTATTATTTTTATTTGCTTTTAATTATTGTTATTTCAGACCTCGAAATCTCAAATACAGAGATATTTTAAATGAATCGAAGCTCGTCAACGCAGGTTTCTATTCAGTTCAGGCTTATTATAATAAACACATAGTAAACAAATTATGAATTCGGTTTTCACAATATTGATATATGATTCGTCCACTAGGGATGCTAAGTTATTATAAGATGCTTTGAGGTAATACATTAAACATGCAAATTCAGGAGCTCGAAAGTGACGAATTAACAACAAATTTGACATTTTGTGTCGGTAAAGTTGACTATTTAACAGGCTTTTACTGGATAAAAATCTTTTAATTACAACAAACATATTTATTGCTTTTTGTTTAATTTAATTATCGGAATTTTCCCACTTTCGTAATTACCCCAAAGTACCCTACCAAAAGCTAGGCTGTGGAAAAAGATCTCTTTATATATATTCATTTGTTTTAATTTTCTGTACTTTATTTTTTTAACTTAATTCTCTAAAACGGGGGAACATTCAGACCTGAAACTTTGATGAAAGATTAGGGATTGAGTCTAGATGCTATAATAATTTTCTTATAGTGGTTAGATTTTTTCGGAAAAAAGAACCAAAAAAAAAATCATTCTACTTTACGGATAATGCATCTTATAATTCATTCTAATTAATAAAAATTTAATCTTAATGTCATTTGTTCAATTGATTCATAATATAGTAATATCAATATGGTGAAGTGGAGATACTCATATTAATCATTTATTATAATTAACTAAAATATCAAATTTTATGTCACTCGTCTTAATATTAATTAATACAATAAAAACACTTGATTATTGCTTCTTAATAGAATCTCAACTAATTGCATTTTGCCACCATCGATGTGTGAGGAAGAAATAACACTTAGTTATAATATCACGTTTTCCATACTAGTATTATGAAGAGGAAAGATTTGATTGTTTGTTTGTTTGCATTAAATAAGCTCCGAAGCTACTGGACCGAATTTAAAAATGTTTCCCCTGCTAGCAGCTACTCTTGTGACACAGTAGGCTACGCAGGGTACTGTAGAATTGTATCGGCTTTTATTAATTTTATTAGGTATCAGTTCAGAATAATTAAATATAAGTAGCACGCGTTGTTGACAGCACTTTATTACATATTTCTTAAGAGACAAAATGTATAAATTCAAATTGAACATAATGGTCAACAGAACGATAATTTCATATACGATTTTTAATGACAATCTCAAACCCTGACCGGCAGACAGATTATATTTACCTAAGGATTAAATAGTTCAATTATACACAGAACGTAATCGGATACCTAAAAGACACGTTGTCCTTAACATAAATAATACTCTCAAGAGATACTTTGGTATGCGATGTCGGTATTGCTTACGTGATTTAATTGCTAGGCATACACCGGAGTGGCAGCGGTGCGACGACGATGCCAGGAAATCGGTATGCAGTCCTGCTAATATTAAAAATGCGAAGGCTTGGGTCCATATATGCATGTTTGCTACTCTCTCATGCGGATGAAATTTGGTATACATTTAAGCTACTTTTTATTCCACTAACAAAACGGTCCGGGGAACTAACGGGCGAAGCCGTTGGTGGAAAGCTAGATCTGTAATAAAATCAGCTTTGAAATCTACACCGGAAACAGCAAGACTTTAGGTAGATAGTACAATGATTAATAGTTGAGATTCTATCGAGGTGCAATTATTACTTAAAGAATTGGACTACACACTTCTACTTAAACAACAGAGATATTTGACTTAAACTTTAATCTATTAAGGCTCGCGGCGTTGCTTTTGCATGGCGCAGTGTACTCTTTAACCGACCTTTCAAAATCGAAAATAAGGAGGTTATATATTCGACGGCGATGTATGTTTTTTTTTTAAGTTTTGCTTTAATATATTAATATTCGTGTTAGGAGTGAAAATTATGGAAAGGTATGTAAAAAATAAAAAAGGAATTAAACAAAATAAAACCACTTTAAAAAAATGTTCAAAACAAGCCCCTATTGATCTTCACTTAGTTTCGGTGGTTACCAAAAAAAAAAAAAATACAGTGGTGCTCTTATGAAAATTAAAACCTTTTTTTGAAGTAAGCTTATTTATTACAAGCACTTTTGCCTACCATTCGTTCAGGACATCTTTTGGCAGACAAAAAGAACAAGCGAAATAATATATACCAAAAGAAACAACTTTTATATAAGTTATGTAATTACCAAAATAATACGTATTACAATAATTATAAAAACAATCATCAACGTCTTTATGACATAGCATAGGTAGGCTTACAAAAAGAATACTTCCCAGGAATAACCAAATATATGTTTTTATTTTTATTTTCGTTGTTATGGTCAACGCATTTTCTTAAAATGTAATTAAGTTAATACCCGATTCTGCTGCGTAGATCCTCAACCATTTTGTAGGCAAATTATTCAATTTGATGCATAAATTTCCCATTTTCGAGGTATTATTACGCTCTTTAGCGGATTTCATCGCAATCTAATTGTTATTGTTTTTATTAAAATCCGTCGGGGGTACAGCTTAAAGTATATTTGCAAGATAAACAAAATGTATAATTTTGATATTATTTTAATTTTGTGTATAAAGAATATTTTTTTCGGGAAATATTCATTTATTAACTAGGTATACTTCTGAAATATAATATTAAGCACTTTTGTAGTGTGTAGAAGGAAAAAATAGGACTTGGCTTCAATTGAATGTTAATACAATATCTTAAAGCTCTTAAAGATCTTTCAAATGTTTAAAAACTTTTATCGGAGACGAAGCTGAGAGAGGACGGTGCCTATATTCTCTTTACGCCTGGTTAATGATAAAGACAGTTAACACATACAATATGAATAGATTGGAGAGACAATGAATTGCGCGTCAAAAACGGTTTTTTTCATAAATTACCTAATGGAAGCCTAATAGTAATTCTCATTTTTTTCTGCTTTTTTTTCAAAAACTGCTTTAAGTCGATTAACTGGAATTGGAGTTGAAGAGGGTACTATAATATAGTCACCATATATCTATAATTTTTAACGTCTACGACGCATGCAGGCTTTAATAGAATATTTACCTGGCTTCATAACTTAATATTGTAATCTCGATGGTTATATTTAGTTCTTAGTCAGTAAAGCCTACTTACTACATCTTAACAATTTGGAAACCATGATCGTCGGTAGATATCTTAGTTAGACCAATCTTGCTAAAATGGTTTCCTATACTAATAATATAAAGAGGTTGGTTGTTTGTTAATTTGCATTGAATAGGTACCGAAACTACTGGCACAAATTTAAAAAATCTTCACCTATGCAAAGCTGTAACATAAGTTTCCGGCGAAGACGATAATTTACGCGAGCGACGTCGCAGGAAGTCGGCTAGTATCAAATTTATAAATTAAAAATATATGTCTGTGTATCATTTCAAACGTTATCCGTGAGCATGACAATTGTTTCCGTTTAGAATTTCATTTGCAAGTTGTATTGAGTGTTGGTTTAGAGGGTTGAAGTACATTTGATTTGGACACGCCATTCAGTATTTCGCTGTGTCATTGTCGTTCGAGGGAACACGATTAATTTTGTTAACCAAAGCCAAAACCAAAGACATCAAAGAGCATCGAGTAGTTTATGCCGTAAAATGTCTATATGTTTTCCCGCGACTTCACTTGCGTTATCTGCGTATAATGTAGGTTCCTGGAGTAAAAAAAGTTTTTTTTAAATCGATCCTGTAGTGTCGAAGAATATTTAACGCTAAAATATACAAACGAAAATCAAGCTTTTCTCTTTATAATATTCATCTTATATTAATATTAGTCACCCTCTTTATTTTTGAAATTATATCTCTCCCTCATTTGTTATCATATTTCAGTCCCTCATTTAATAGTTCGTTACAAAAGTGGAACTTGGCTAAAGTTACGTAGTTTCCGAGATATAAGAGAATCATTGCGGCGCTGCTAGATTGGCGTCAGTCTGGCAGCGCCACAGCTAGAACTGTGTACCTGTAATGAATTCCAAAATACTATCCAGGTCATCTTTTCATCCCTTATTTATCAGTCTGGGACAGAGCGAAAATAAATGGCCAAAATAAATACTTTTAGAGATACCTAATTAGGAAATAATGTAGGTCTGCTGGGCTGAAATCAGTTTGGCAGCGCTACGCTATATTTTCTAAATTTTAGAAGCTCATTCTTTTAAAATGTCAAG